CTTTTTGTGTTGCAGCTTTTTCGTTCGTGGTTTTCTTTCGTTGTTTAATACAGGTGATTGTTTTCAGGTAACTACTGAGATATTTAATCTTCCTGATTGTGGTCAGAATCTGCAATTTTAAACTAAATATTTTCATAATTGCATTGCCTTCTTTTAGTCATGTATTTCCTATGCAGATATATGCCTGATGCTACTTTTTAACATTGAGTTTCGTATATTCAACTTAGGAAGAACAAATATTGTTGATGTTAGCAGAAACTATGAATAAATCTGCTAGTAAGGATCCTGTCTTTTCTGTGTGAAGTGGTGAAGATGAAATAAGTGTTCCAGGAGAGCATGAATACTTACATTCCTTTCTTTTGTAGTTGGTTGTTGGAGTGTAGTGATGATTTTGAACCAGAGTGGCTTGTGCAGAAATCAGGTTTATCAATTGTTTCTTATATTGCAGCTATAAAAGGATTTATAGTTTGCCTTTTTTTTGTTCCTCCTTATGTTGAAGAAATAACAAGTTAAAAGTTATTGTATGCCAAGTCTTTGCTCTGAACAGTTTCTGAACTGGGAGAAATTGTGAACATGAGAGGAGGAACCTTTGAGGAAAATGAATGAGGAAGAAAAGAATATTTACTGCTGTAGCTCTTAATTTCTAGAGTAAATATTCATTACAATTATTGTTATAGAAAATTACACACATAAAGGATATGATTTGTATATTTTCAAGGTAAACAATGTGTATATTTTCCAGCTCTTGTATTTTGACTTCAGAATACTCCAGGTAGTATTGATGTGTATCTTTGTAGGGGAGGAAGTGTGCAAAGAAAAGTTCCTTAGGATGAAATGTTATTAAAATGTTTCCAAAATTATTTCTCAGCAGGAAATCTCATTTGTTCTTGTGTAGAAGTTACGTTGAACTTTAGAATTTGTTTTTCTGTAGAAAAAAACTGCCTGTGAACATTGAATCTTTATAACTTGAATGATTGAATGCTGTAGACTTAACTTGTATACCTTAAGCTTCATTTTGCTCCTCATATATATGTGCAGGTTTTCTGTCCTGTTTTAATAAAAGAGGACTTTCTAACTACAAATGTCAGAGAATGCAGATTGCTTAGATAATGCCCATTCACAGGCTTTGTCAGCTCTTACGTCTTCAATTTCCATGACTTGGTTTTCTGTGAAGTAGGGATGTGGCTTATGTGTCAATTATGTTTAGACTGCAGGATCCTGCTTAGATTGGAGAATAATGATTTTGAATGCTGTTTGTAGCAACGAGATTCTGCATAAGATTAGCCAACTGATGTTACATGGAAGTTGGATTTTTCTTTTTCTCCTTGCTGGAGAACCAAAGAGGACTTTGCAACGGTGCATTGGCTATTACAGAACAGATCTTATTCTTTTGGTGGAATAGCTTCTTGCCAATGAGCTTCCACTTCAATAGCACTTCTTTGGTAGTAGTTATTAGCTGGCTTTTGAAATTGCCCCTTCCCAATTTTCTGCAGTTTTGCCTTTTTCCAGAAGCATCTTTCAGATTGTCTTGTGTCAGAAAACAGACTATATGAATAATGTTCTTCTCAGTGCTTGGGTTTTTTTATTTTGCTAGAGAATGACATTGGTGCTTTAATAGTAGCTTACCTTTCAGTGGCTCTGCACAATTTGTGTTTCCATGTTTTTAAATACTGGTTTTCTGTACCCAAGTATAATTTGAAGATGTCTGTGACTGAGAAGCATTGCTTGACCTGATACATAAGACAGTGTATAAAATTAGGGAGAGATGCTTCATGTGATACCAGAAACTTTACTGTTTGTCCCAAAAGATAATTTGGTTGTTTGACAAATGTTTTGAAAACTCCTGTCTACGTACATACGTGTTTAATATATGGCAAAGTTTGTTACTGCCTTTATTGAAGTAGTAAGTTTGCATTAAGCTATGCTGGCTGGATAATCGAAGATTACAAAAAAGCGTTCTTTTCTGTGTTCAAGAAAAGCAAGACAACTAATTTTTTTTTTCAATTTTCTTTTTTTCCAATATTAAATGTTTTGTGGTAAATTTTGATGGCTTCATTTTGTGAATTTTATCACAAGCTTAGCTTTCAGTGTCTGAAGTATGCTTCTGCCGACAGCAAATCGGTGGCTCTGTCAGGCTTACTTTCATTTATGTAGCGCTATTGCCAGAGATCCTCAAGTAGCTGCCCATGTTTTGTCTTGCATTCTTTAGTGTAATACTCTGTGTATTTTTGCGTGTATTATTTTCCATATATTTATCTAGCTTTTATCTTCTGAAAGTGAATATTTATTCTGTAAATCTCCACATGTATGAAACCAAGCCATAGTCTTGAGATGTGTCAGCAGAGCCAAAGAAGGTGGATCTTATTGCATTCATCCTCTCCTAGAAATCAATGTCTGTTGGATACTACACCCTCAATTCTAACCAGTTTGTATGTTGTAAGGTTTTTGTAGAACAAATAGAAAAAGACTTACAAAATCTTCAGTGGTGCGAGAACCTGGAAAGCAGAAACACTGAATTGGAACAGGAACTTCAGCTGTTAGGAATAGATATAAGAGAGTGGTAGAAATAATTTGCCTTGTACAGATCTTTTCCTTTCCTGTCATTTCCCATAGTGAAAACACAGGGAATGACTGTATTTACTCAAAATAGGAACTCTTTGCAGCTTTGGTCAAAGGACTGGAGTTAGTCTGTTTTGATAGAAGTGTTGAGAAGTTAGTGAAATATGTTACTTGGTCTGGCTGTTTGGATCCAGAACTGAATTGTGGGTATTCTTGGCTTCTAAAAATGAATTTATTCCATTCTGTGTTTTTAATATTGACTGAGTTGTCATGGTTTAGGCAAACTGAGCTAAGAGCTTAAATTCTTAATTTTAGTTTAGGCATACCCTAAGCATAACTTACTGTTCTCAATTTAGGCACATATGAATGAAATATTTTCATGCAACTGGTCAGGTCTGAATAATTTGCCTGGATGCAAAATCTGAGCTGTACTCTGTAGTTACAGCGAGTGATAATTGAAAACTTACTTATTCCCTTCCCTCTGGAAATCACAGCCATGGGTTTCTTATGAAGGTGAGGCTTTTGGAGGATTTAACATAAATGCTTGGTATTGATTTTTGCCTCTTCTTCTTATTTCTTCTAATTTTTTAGTTAGTAAATAAAGTTAGTCTTGTTCATGAATTTATTTTTTAAATCCTCATTGACCCATGAATTTGAACCCTAATAATTAGATATGTTTTTCTTCTAGTCACAGGGTTTTTAATTTCTTTTTTTAGAAGAGTACGTAGCTGTTGAGAGGCTTTCCAGAGATGAAATGAAAGATTGAACACTGCATGTTTTATGGCCAGAAATACAGAAAAGGAAGTCTTAATGCTTGTTTCTCTCATATCTAAATGTGTTCTGATTTTTCAACACTAATTCATTAATATCCTTGTATATTAAGACAGTATTGTGCTTTAGCTTTTAATTCTTTCTGATGTTACTTCAGTGACGTTTATAGGCAGTAGTTTTATTATTTTATGGCCAAAGTAAGTAAATATTTCCTCACATAGTTTTTCAAAGCAGAACTTCTTCCATCCAGCTAGCTCTTTATTTCGTATGTTCCAACTTGAGTTCTTTTTCTTTTTTTTTTTTAATAATTTTATTAGAATCCTGTGCAAGGAATTCTGGAAAACATTGAAAACTATCTCTTGGTGCTTTTGATTTTTTTTTTTTTTTTTTCTTTTTTTTTCCCCTTGATCTAGTAGAAATACTTGTCTTGCTTTTCCCTCCCTGTTAACTGCATTATCGTTAGCTGGTCTTTCTTATGAATGAGCCCATGGTTCAAAATGGTTCTTCTTAGTATTAATTTTTCTCCTGTATTTGCATCAGTAAATTTGCTTTGTAACTTTTCTACTTTGTGCCTTGTACTAGTAGTATTTCCGGTTACTTTATTCCATTGCCATCTGTCTCCATTCAAGGTAAAAACAAAGAGAAAAACAGAACTGGTTTACCTCTGACTACTTTACAGTTCTTATGCAAGCCATTCTGAGTCTTAATTAGTATTCCTACACAACATACATCACAGAAAATGAGGTGGAAAAAATGTACTATGTTTTTCATCTTGATTAGGAAATGAGCAGTCACAAACAGCTGTTGGGGTATCCTTGAACAGTCCATCTTTAAAGAATCGTAGCATCATTAAGATTGGAAAAGATCATCTAGTCCAACATCACTACCATGCCCACTAAGCTGTGTCCCTCTGTGCTGTGGCTAGCCTTTACATGAAGGCTTCCAGGGCTGGTGACTTTACTTCCTCCCTGGGCAGCCTTTTCCAATAGCTCGCCACTCTTTTGGAGCATAAATTTTTCCTGATATCTGACCTAAACCTCCACTACCACAGCTTAAGGCCATTAGCTCTCATTGTGTTGCTAGTTACCCAGGAAAAGAAGCCTGCTCTCACCTAGCTACAACCTCCTTTCCAGTAATTTTTAATGAGCTATGAGGTCACCCCTGAGCCTCATGTTCTCCAGACAAAATCCCAATTCCCTCAGCTGTTCCTAGTAAGACTTATATTCCAGACCCCTCACCAGCTTTATTGGATGCGATCCAGGGCTCCAGTGACTTCTTTGTAGTGAGGGGCCTGAAACTGAACACAGTACTTACGGTGTAGTCTCACCAGTGCTGAGTACAGAGGGACAGTCGCCTCCCTGATGCTGCTGACTGCACTGTTTCTGGTACAAAGCCAGGATGCCATTGGCCTTCTTGGCCACCTTAGCGCACAACTGGCTCACATTCATCTGGCTGTCAGCTGACACTGCCAGATCCTTTTCCTCTGTGCATGTGACAATTTCTTCATGTTCTTCTAGTTGCTTCTTCAGAATTTGTTCTAAACACTCCCATTTTCTTTTAGACAAGACAAGGTGGTTCTAAAAAATTCTTACATTATAATAAAAAGCATTTTTAAACAGAGCACAAATAATGGCAGTAAACTCTTCAAATAGTCTTGATATGTCTTTCAGCTAATGGTAACGACAACAAGAAATTCAAAAGTGAAGATAAAATGGATGGGGCGCCTTCTCGTGTTCTTCATATCAGAAAACTGCCTGGGGAAGTGACAGAAACAGAAGTTATTGCTTTAGGCTTACCTTTTGGTAAGGTAACCAACATCTTGATGCTGAAAGGGAAAAATCAGGTAATTTGTTGCTTTTTTTTTTTTTCTCATTTCAAAATATGCTGTTAAAATAGTATTGTAATACGTCATGCTACAGTAGGTATTAATGAGGAAAGAGGAGGAGGGTAAAAACCTTTTTTCTTTCTTTAAATCAGCTTATACTGTCTTGTAAATTCTGTTTGGGAATGTGGATTGGTTAAGAGCTAAATAAAGTAGGAAATAGGATAAATACTGCAAGTTAAATACTCAGTTCTGCATTTCTTCAGATGAATATTTGGAGGTGGCTTGGCAAATAAAGTTAGTAATTGGAGGATGGTGTCTTATAAAGGTGTATGTTTGGCAAAATGTGTTCTCAAAACTCTTGTCTTCTTTCTTGTGCTTCTAATACGAAGGTTGTCTACTTGAAATTTATCAATGTAACTTGATTTTATAGGCTTTTTTGGAACTTGCAACAGAAGAAGCAGCTATCACTATGGTTAATTACTATTCAGCTGTGACGCCTCATCTTCGTAACCAACCTATCTATATCCAGTATTCCAATCATAAAGAACTGAAGACTGATAATACACTGAACCAGGTATATTTGTTATTACATGGTATTAGAAATGTAGGCAGTAGGGTATGTGATATATATACCACCATCAATCAAGAATACCTGTTATTTAAATCTACTTTTGTCCACGTTCAAACACTACAGTAGTTTTACCAGTGGTTTTGGGAATGAAGATTTGCTTTCTCTGTGATCCTTCGATTAGGAGGAATTTACTTAGTGTGAAAGGAAAGATTGTGAAGATGTTTTAACTTAAATTTTTTTTCACAAAATAAATTTACGTCTTAGTTTAGAAATTGCAGGATGAGAAAATTAACTTTTTAATTCTGACACCTGAGATTGTAATATCTCTTTCAATTTCCCTGGTGTTAATGACTAATGCGAATGGCTGCATTTCAGTGCTTTGAATGAATGCTCTGGTAGCACTGGTGGGCTCTTCTCCTGTGATCTTCTGTTCCTGATGAAGAACACGTTAATGCTTAGTGCAGAGATAAACTTGCATGTTAGCAGAAGGAAAAAATAATTAGTTTTTGCCTCTGCAGAACATATTTTAAAAGAAAGATAAATGCATATACCTGTTTCTAGTACAGAAACTTTTGTCTTTTTTCTAACGGAAAAATTAGCAAAAATAATGCCTTTGCAAAATAGGTTTTCCTCCTGATGTGATGAACATTTTTTTACAACGGGAAAAAAAGATTAACTTACCACAAGTCAGTGATTATTTCAAGATTGTTTTCTTATGTTCATCTTCAGAAGTGGCTATTTATATAAATCCTAAACGTGGTTTTGAACTTCTGTGAAAAAATGCTCACTGTTGTGTTCATTTAATAGATTATCCTTGTGTAAGCATGTTAAGTCACGCGCGTTCCTTCACTCCATCATGTATTTAGTGTAACTTTAGTGCACTGAAGCATGATGTGTAAGCGTACATGAACAGTGCTATCAAGGGTTGTCTGTTAAAAAGCAACCTCAAAAGTTGTGGTTTTGTAGGTTGCACAGTTCAACGTTCTCCAATCACTGAAATACATGAATTTTAATTGATGTGCTTCTTCTGTGCTCACAGAGGGAGTAGGAAATAATTATGTAACTCAGCCAAATATCGGAACAGCTTGAAATTTGTAATAATTTTCATGCATTAGGGGGGAAAAGGAATGTCTTTATCAGAAGGCATTTCTATAGAATTACAGTAGTTGTTTGTAAATACAATTAAATTTTATTTTCTCAGCTTTCATCAAGTCTTTTAATTTTTTTAATCCTTCCTTAACTCGTTGATTCATTTCAGTTTGAATAGCGTCATGTAAGTTGTGACATGAGATAGCTCTGATACCTCTGAAATAGTGCACTGATTTACTGTAATGGTTATTACTAGTTAGTTTTGCCTGGCGTGCTCACTTTGTTGTTTGGTATTGTTTTGTTTCATGAGACTGTTCTAATGGAAGTAGTAACTGAAACTTTTTTTTTAACCCACTACTTTTTCTTTCTCAGGAAAAAAATTATCTTTCTGATACTTTCAGTTTTGGCAGCAGCAGCAGTTATGTAGATGTGTGTTGTTGTGATGTCTTCATAAACCTTTGAATTTCTAAAACCATGCTTTTGATATTTAAAAAAACAAACCAGAAGGAAACTGAAGAACTTATGGTGGAAGAAGATTCTGTTTCTCTTTTTAGTAAGAAGGGTAAATAACGGACACCAGGTTGTTTAACTCTGTCTGGATAGTACTTTCTGATACGTCTGTCTTGTGCATTATTTCTTTGTGTTACATCAGAGAAGCTTGACAGTGTTCAGCATTATTCCTTCTTCACAGAACTTTCCGCGTAATTTAAGTGGCAGTGAAATATTAACTGTACAGACTGTTGAAAAAACAAGATAAAAGATTACTGGCTTCTGCACTTTTTTCCCCTTTAAGAGTATGTAAGGAGTTTTGACATCCACAAAATGATTTTTTAATAGTTAATAGTAGAACAGTAAGCTTGCTTCTAGGAAGATTGATATTTGTGCCACTTGAAGGCTTAATTGAGGTATTTGTTTTTATTTTCTCACGGATTGGACTGCATTACATTCATATTCTGACTCTTTTTTTTTTTTTTTTTTCCTGAATATCATGCAATTTTCTAATTAATTTCTAGCTATTGTCTTGAGATAGTAAAATCTTTGTAATTTTCTTTTCAAGCGGGCCCAAGCTGTTCTTCAGGCAGTGACAGCTGTGCAGGCAACAAATGCTCCCATAAGTGGGACCACTGTTAGTGAGAGTGCAGTTACTCCAGCTCAAAGTCCGGTGCTTAGAATAATTATTGACAACATGTACTATCCTGTAACCCTGGATGTTCTTCATCAGGTAAGACAAATTTCATTTTAATTTGACCTTGTAATTAGCAGGAACATGTGTATAAAACTTTGTTTTTGACAGATATTCTCTAAATTTGGTGCTGTATTGAAGATAATCACATTCACAAAGAATAACCAGTTTCAAGCTTTACTCCAGTATGGTGATCCAGTGAATGCACAGCAAGCAAAACTAGTAAGTATAGTTTTCTTTTAAGGGTAGATATGTTTCTGTGCTCTAGACATTTGTACAATGTTTGCAGAACCCTGACTACTGTAGTTGTAATATTCCTCCTCTGTTTTTGAGAGTTCTTTAAAAATAATTGGGAGTTTATATCATTTTGACAACAATCAACATGTCATCAAGACCAGACGTTTTGAATTAAGTGATAATGATGTGACGGCATCCATGACGAGAAGAAAAGTAAACCAGAGGCAAAGACTAGATTTTGTGCTTGTGTGTGTGATATATATATTTTTATATATAGACAATTTTTTATTCTAACTTTTAAGAGTTAAATCTAATTAATTTATATTCTTTAACATTCACATGCAGTTTGGGTTTTTGGAAGGTTGGTTAAAATTGATGTGCTGGTTAAGTGTTGCTTGACAGCGTAGAAAGAGTGACTTACCCAGAGGTGACAAAATAGCTGAGGATATCATGTAGAAGTGAAAAGCTCACGCCTCAGATGAAGTTGATAAAGACTACCTAGTAGTAGAGGAAACAGAAAGCAGGCTTTGGTTTCTACTGTGCTTCTTGAAGAATGACGACTATTGAGATAAAGACTGTCATTAAAAAGTGGAGGATTGTTATTTTCATTCTTCTCACCATATGAAATAATGAATGTTGATTAAAAGTATAAGACCGCCAAGACAGGGAATGGCAAAAAATGAGAGATCTATTCAAAAGGCAGTGTATAAGTGCTCTTCCTTTTGAGAAAAAGTAATGGTAGCATAGGACAAGCAGATTTTTCAACTTGGTTTATGATGTCTGCTTTAAGGTAGTCTACCTCAGGAAAGTAGTCTGGAAATATTTGTAGACTTTGGAGTCCAGTTTTAATTAGGGATGTTGTTTACTGACATGTTATATATAAAATACTAGGTGGGAGGGGTGTGTGAATGTATTACTGTAACTACTGGGGAAAAAAAAAATTGCATGGATGGGATGCAGCTGTCAGGTTTGTAAATAGACTTAGAATGACATAAAAACTAGATCTTTGACCTGAAATTACTGTGGGAGTTGACTGTAAGTCATTTGGATTCACAATTGAGATACGTTTTGATCCCAGTGTTCTTCAAGTATTTCTTACGGATATTGTAATTCAGTTTTGATCAACATTTGGGAAGTTATTTTTCAGTAATAGTTGATATGTTTTACTTCACATTTTTGACTTCGTTTTTTGAATCTTAAATGTGTTATCAGAAGATTTAATGGAAAGACGGCATCTGTGAAATGAACTGTAGCAATCTGAAAATTATCAGTATATTTCTAGAACTGTATTCTAAAAGAAGTGACAAATAACACGGGATGAGGTATGTAAAAGTATGAAAGGAAATAAAGAATCTGCTGATGCTGACTTCTGATAAATTGATACTAGCTTGCGGGACACTATTGGTCATAATATTCAAAACAAAACAACAACACCTGTATTTGCTCTGGTTTTGCATGTTTTAACTGGGGTAGCTGTTCACTAATGGCTGCTCATGTGTGAATGACTAAACTTAATTGAATAACAGTGAAACCTGCATGTATAGTTATTGTCAGAGTTATCTTAAAACCTAGCTTAGTGACAAATTGAAACAGGAATCGGTTTATAGCTTCTTATTTTAACCGATTTCTAAGTAAATCCTTTAATGAGGGAAGATTTGATTTTTATTTTTTCTCCTTCCTCTTTTCTCTCCCAGAGATAGAGTAAAATTGATACTGTTGTTACGATTAAATTAATGTGATAAAACATGAAGTCACCCAATCAAAATTGAGAAAAGGAAAGAAAGTCACACGATAAGGAAAAAGCCTACAGTTTAAATTCAGCTGGAAGTAGTGGTAGAAGCAAGAGGATGTGGTGGCAAATTTAAGTTACATGGCATTCAAAATTAAAATCATGGTAAAAGAGTAAAGAAATTTTCAATTTGTTTTCCGTCAGTTGTTACTGTAGAAGATAATGGGGAAATTTAATTTTCCACTGGCACTCTTCACAGGAAATCAGAATGTGGTCTTAATAGAAATTGAAGACTTTATTAAGGAAGTTAAAAGAGCAATTTGAAAAACTCAAGTGATGTAAGTACCAAGGAGAGATGTTATTCATTTGAAGGTTCTGAGAAACTAGTGACACTGGCAAGAATGTACAATATGAAGCCTCTAGCCCTGTGGGACTCCTTCTGCTACCCGAACGAGCAAGTAGTGAAAAATTGCATTCCTGTTCCACTTGCTGTGTGAGAAACTCATTTCCTGTAAAAGTAGGCTGTGGCTACACTGATTCATGTTTCATCACCACCTTCAGATTGGGTCATTATAGTTCATTATATCTGTAACTAAAGGTAAAGACAAACTTGAGATTACTTTCAGTGCAGCAGTCTAGCCATGGTTTGGAGAAAGTGTTGAGAATGTGCAGCACTGGAGCACACCGAACTATTATGCTTCCTCTGGTGAAACAAAGGGATATTCTGGAGGTGTCTGTATTCATATGGAAATTTTTTGTGCATCAAAGCCAGCAGATTTTCACAGTAAATGATAGTGCCCTCAATAGAAGCAGAAAGCCTGCTTAGGTTGCTATGAAAGTAATGCCTTCTATGTATTTCCATGGAAACGACAACAAATACAAAGAGCACAGTAACAGTATTTGATAGAGCAAATCCTCAGCTACAAAACACTGCTTTTCAACAGTCACCACCATTAGCTATGTGTTTTTGCCAACAGTGAACAAGAGCCTGTGTGTTGCAGTCATAGAAATCTGTGCCAGCAGAGGTGACCCATTGTTTCATGGGTGCTGTGATGGCATTGTTGCTAGGAAAATGTTGCCTGTGAAGTCCGTCTTTCATCGGCCTTATAAGAAGGAAGTCAGAAGGTGCCAAATCTGAACTATACGGTGGGTGTGGTAAGACAAGCCACAAGTGTGCTGCATGGTCTTCAGACTGCTATGGGGCCTGAAGCTAAGAGTATGGTTATCTTCTTCTCTGTCAGACTCAGAAAGTTTGAGCCTTTAGCTTAGTTGGTGTCATGATGAAATGATCAGAGTTGATGGTTTCCAGGCTCCAGGAAATCCAGAAAGATAACCCCTTTCCTTTCTTAAAACACAGCACAGATCAGTTTACCTGCAGAGGGCTGCGTCTTGATCTTTTTCTTCAATGAGGAATTCACATGTCTCTGCTCCATTGACTGCTGTTTTCACTCCAGCTCATACTGGTGACATTGTGTCATACCACTGGTAACAGTGTGATCCAGGCAAACTGTCACCTTCAGCATTGTATTGGGTCTGTAAATCCTGACAGGCTTGCATACCATGTTCTTTCTCTGCCTATGTGGGTGTCTGTGGGACACACAGCTGATGAAAACTCAGATATTCCAGTTTTGCCACTATAGTTTCCAATGCAATTTAGCCAATACTTAGTCCATACACAGTTCCCTGATCATATTCTGCCAGTTTGCCTCAATGAGCTGAGTGAGACGCTCTCACTTTGTCATGTGACAGGTGTGCATGGTTGTCTGGGAACGTGACTTGTTTTTCACTTCACTTTTGCAGCTGCTGAAATGCACCATCCACTCCCTCACTATGCTAGCATTCATGTTGATCTCCATAAATGTTCAGCAAGCATTGGGGTATGTTGGTGCAATTTTTTTCTGCTTAGAGGAATTCAGCAGCACTCCTTTGCTTCGTGCGCACTTCCATGTCAGACACCATTCTGTCAGACTGCCTCTCTGCTGTTGTCTGTCACACAGCAACGACGTATAACGAAATATTGGTGGGGAGGGTTCGACCTCTCCTGCCGTACTACTGGCATCCATCTCCACATGGACCAGCGTGATCAGATAGGAGGCATCACTTTTGGAGCAGCCCTTGCAAACATTCGAACGCCACTAATGCCATCTTTTGGTTTGATTACTGGGAGTAATGCTGTGCATGAAAGTCATCTTGACCCAGTATGAGTTAAAAATACCGCATATCTACTGAGTTTCTGTTGGACTTAGTCATTTGAACCTAAGATGGCATGTAGCTGTTCTGGAGTACCAATAATTAGTTTCTCAACAGAAGTTCTTTTAGGGTCTGACTCCACACTGGAGATGCCTTCTTTCCAGTTTCTTTGAGTGACTGCTTCATGGTGGTTCTTCTGCTAACAGTCTGCAGAAAAGACCTCTGCCAGGTTTTGTCACCATAAAATCTAATGTGAGCTTCCTGTGGTCATTCTCTAAACAGAAAGCAACAGCATTTCCAGTTAAGATATTTAGCTTCAGCACAGTTACCCTTTATTATGTTAAGGATTTTCATGCCCCCTGAATCCTGAAGAAGATTATTGTGCTGAAATGATAGGCAGTGCTTGGATCAACTGACGAGTGCCAGATTGTGCCCATTGTGTTAGAAAGCCCAGCAAGTGCAGTAATAGTGTTTGTTTCCTGGATGCTCCAGCTTTGTAGTGAAAAATGTGATGTGTAACTGGTCTTTTAATGAAAGAACTGCATGCAGAGAATCTTAGTTTTGAATAATGGTCTGTGGTTTATAAACACTGTTTAGCCACAGAAGCTTCTTGCATCCAAGGCATTTGTCTGAAAAGAAACAATTTTCGTTCAAATACTTATCCAAAGGATACACTAAGGATGCATCTCTCCCAAGAGAGATTTACAGTATAACCTTTGAGCTGAGTTGGAGTATGTTGTGTGAGGATCACATTTTCTTTTTTTAAATCTTAAACTACTGTGATGTATCCTTTTGAAAATATTGTTTCTAGTTCCTTTTTGTAGTTTCACTGTGGCTTTTGGTTAGTTACGTGCTTCTGTTAAGTATTGACCTGTTTGGAAACTACAAACACAGATTGTATTTTGGCTTGCTACTTTTTTTTTTTTTTTTTTAAGGCTAAGGATTTTTATCAACATCCTTCTTCTAGCCATAAATTAGAGTCTACAGACTCCACATGGAGGTATAATGAGAGTCTTGATTGCGTTTTAAATACTTAGTGCTTTCCTGTGATTTGGACTCAGCTAAAAAGGAGCTGCCTTTTGGTTCCAGTCATACCTAGTTTTCATTATTATAAGAATAATGTTTTCTGTGTGATAATTGTGTCGTTCCAGAGTAAACTCTAGTTGCGTAAACTGGACTTAATCCCTATGTTAGTGGATTTTAGATGATAGGCTTTGCATTGCCAATATTCTTTCATCTGAATTTCAAGCAGAAGTATTTGTTGAGACAAATATCTAGATTGTCAAGTTTTTTGTTTTTTTTTTTTTTTTTAATTTATTTGCTCTGTGTTCTTTTATCTTCCTACTATTTGAAAGTTCTAGTAGTACTAACTTATGTGTTCTTGTACATTGGCTGCTAATGCTGTTAATTCTTTTAAACAATTTCGTAAGCCCTGGTGATATATTACCTGAGATAATACATCTTGTAGGAAAGGACAACCTTGATAACCCAGACAGAGTGAGGTGTCTGTGGGACATTCAGTTCCCAGGTGCATTGCCGTATGAAAATAGCTGTGATGCTTTCCATGGCCAATGGGCCTAATAGTTTTGTGCAGCACTTAATTCAAAGTAGTTCATCTTTTGAGAACTTGAATGTGTTGGGAAGTTTTGTAGGTATAACTAAGCTAGCTTGCTTTGGTCCAGAGCTGATGTATTTTTGTCTAGTATTACTCAAGAGAAACAGAAGATTTAACTTTCGTATTTGAAAATCGAGAGTTTCTATTGAATGATCTGGGTGTTTCTTGGAAACATAAAATAACTTTAAAAAGTTTTATTCTGTGTAGCATTAACAGCTATACGTTACTATATGAAAGCATGCTCAAAATTTCAGATGGAATTAAATTAGTCTGGTACAGAATGATAATGATTGAAGCATATATTTAGGTCTTAATGGAGAATGTTTCCACATAGATGTGGTACCATGGTAAGAGCTGGTGTGAATTCTGTTGTTAGTAGGCATCCACTAAAAAGTAAGAATTGTGAAAATGGAACTTTTTTTTTATTATTAAGGTCTAGCATTAGACTAGAAGGTAATGTTTTGGGTTTTTTTTTTTTTTTTTCTTCCTCAATTTTGGCACTAATTCTAAAGGGAGAGTAAAAGGAGGCAGGAACAAATATGCTGGTTTGGCACAGAGCCATCTACTTTATGGTGTGTAAACCTAGATTTTTTGATATCTTAAGTCTGCTTTTTATAGACTTCTAGTGTGATTATTTATTTTTTTTACTTTTTGAGAAATGTTTGGCATTTTACCTGCATTAAAGCTATACTGTGAAATACATGTTAAATTATATTCAGCAGGAGTTTGACTGTGCTGATTTCTCTGCACCTTGGTGCATGAACAATCTCTTGATAAGAGAAATAAACATCAAGCATCCTGGAATCATGTTAAGAGAGGTTAATGCATTGTAATCTTAATGGGTTATAAGCTAGACAGTAAGAGGGATAAATAGTTAAGTACTGACCAACCCGTATTGTGTATTATTTTAAATAAATTGTTTCCTTTTTGCAGGCCCTGGATGGTCAGAATATTTATAATGCTTGCTGTACTCTACGGATTGATTTTTCCAAATTGGTGAATTTAAATGTCAAGTACAACAATGATAAAAGCAGGGACTACACTCGTCCTGATCTTCCATCTGGTGATGGACAACCAGCACTGGACCCTGCTATTGCTGCAGCATTTGCAAAGGAGACTTCTCTTCTAGGTATGACTCTGACTCTATTGTTATGTGTTGCAAAGTCCTTGATGAAGATATTAATTAGTCTTAAATTGCAATGGTGTCCTGAAGCCTATTAGGTTTACATTGCAATGTGAATTGTAGTAATACAGTTGCATTATCTTCAGAAGCCCTGGAGAAGTGAATGAGAGAATGCATGGCAAACGATAAATAAGCTCTCACTCTGAATGCATGTCTTCAACTGCAATGTTGTCCCTAACAACAGAAAAATAAAAGGGATGTGACCAAGTAACTTAAACTGCAGTTCTTGAAAGTGTCCTGTGACTTCAGTGAAGTCAGTCATATTTATCTTGGTTATTAATGGAGATCTTATATTGGAAGAGAGGGAGGGACCTTTTCTGATTCTGCTAATGACTGGTTGGGTGAGTTTTGTGTATCTTAACTTTGCTTCATCTGGCAAATGCAAGTACTCTGATCTTTGGGTTAGTTTCTTTCATTTTTATTGCCTCAACTTCACGAAAGGGTTCTGTTAATATTATTGTTACCTTAGCCAATCAAATAGTTGTCATAATGAGAATTATACTTGTTTGAATATGGAAGTATGAGGCTCTCTATGGAAGAAAAAAAAAAGGCATAAAACACACGACATCAAAATGGAACAAGAAAACAGAAAAAAACTTGAAAGCCTGAATGGGTTTATGACTGTGTTTTTATTCGCATACTCAAAAGGAGAAAGGTGAGAGCAGCTGTAAGTTCAGAGAGTTGTAAGATGAAGGTTTGGAAACTATGATGTGTGAAGTATGGCAGAATGATTGCAGTGACCTTCCTCCTGCTTCTTTTTTATCTTCTGATTTTATATTTGTATTTGCTTTAGAATTGTCTTCTCTAATGTCAGTAGTGATAAAGATAGCTTCAGAGTGTACTTAGGTAGATTATCTGCCATTCAGTTTTCACTGATGGTTCCCAAAGGGTGTGCTTTGCCACAAGAGTGGAGCTCCATTTTGAGCTCGATGTGATGCTCCTCAAGTTCTAGTGTGTTTGCAGCAATGCTGTGCTGCACCTGTGGCATTCTTGCTAAAACTCTTGCAGTAGCCGTTTTTAGTATATGTGTATGAGATCTCTTAGCAGAAAATGTGATAAGGCTTCAGTTTTAACCTTGATTTCTGTTACATTATGCTGTTAAATAGTGGATTGTTGTACAGCTTTCATGCTTTTTTCTAAAGTGTATAAAAATTCGTATGTCAGCAGTGAGGTTTAGGTTAAATGTTTTATGAGTAGAGTTTTAGTGACAGGATGACACTCTTGTATTAGTCTTGGTGCTTCAGTCTTTATGATTGAATATCATGTGTGTGTATGTATACCTCGGTTACATTCTGCATGAAATTAACCCTCTTCTTCAGAAACTGTAACTTCGTGATGTGCTGTAGTAAAACCTAAAATGTGAAACTTCTTGAGCTATTGAGCATAGATCTTCAAAGAACCTCCTATTGCCCCCCAAAATCCTTCCAGGCTAAGTATAAGAAGGCATAGAGCAAAGTAATGAGTACCAGGAGGTAGTGATTACTTGACATAAGGTCATAAAGAAGTTTGTAGCCCAGCTAGGGACTAAATCCAATTCAGTCACAGTTTTACGTATCTACATTAAGATGATTACTTCTATTACCTATTATTTTCACCCATAATTTTTAGTATAGCTTTAATTTGCCTATTAATAAAATATCATTAGTAATTTGTACTTGAGAAGTTGCACAAAAAAAAAAAAGCTGGGAATAAGTAATGCGTGACATGCTGTGTTGAGGATAAAAGCTCAATGGCTAGGAAGAGGGGTCTATAATGTTTGTATGTTTTCATTAATATCCAGAAGAAGCAAAAGCCTGATTGTTGGAAGCTAAAATTAAGTTAACGATGACAAAGCTTTCCAATAAGTGCATTTCTTGATACAGTATCAGCAGTTTCTAAATAGTTGTAGGTAAGTCATTAAAAAATCAGTGAGTTGAGTGATATCAATAACTATAATCTAAATTTTATTCATAAAACAAGATTTTACTTCTATCGAGTGGCAAATTTTAGAGACCTATAAAATAAACCCATAAAAAATGCAAATCTTGTGATATCTCTGACCCTTCCAGGAAATGAGAGCTGTGTGCTGTATAACCAAGTAGAAAATTGTTGCACTTGTAAATTATCCAGGCTTTCATGGATTGTTACTTGTTCATATACTGCCTCCTCAGCTGTGATGAAGCTAAGTTGTCAGAAATCTTGGAGACTGTAAATTGGGCATATTTTCAATGAGTCTTACTATCTTTTGAATGAAGGGCAAAATTACTAATGAACCAAATGAGGCTGCTTTCAAATGGCTGTCGTGGTCATCATATCAGAATTAGGCTTTCTTTTTTTATTTCCCTGGAATGTGTTTCTTTTTATAAGTGAAGTAGAGAAAAGTTATGGAAGATCTTCCAGGGAAAAAAAAGCCTTTTGTGTAAATAGCAGCTATATTGTAATAGCAGCTACATAAAAATGAAATGCTAAATAAAATGCTAAACAAAACCTACTTATAATTGCAAGATATATAATAGTTTAACTTCAATTTAGCTGTTTATTACTACAGCTAGAAATTTGCTGTTGTTACTGCTCCTACAGTATTATTTCTTGCTGTCTTTTCTAGGTTTTTTTATTACAACTTTTCATTAATTGCCTCTTCTTAAAATTCTTATTAAATGAATCTGTTTCAGAGGATAACAATTGAAAACATTTCTATATAAATGCTGTTAAATTAATCTTTGCTTTATACTTCATCAGTAGGACCAAAAAAATCCTGTAAAAAGTTTAATACTATGAAGAATTTTGACTTTTAAAGTATCAGTAGTGTCATTATATCCAATTACAGAAAAAGCCTTAACTTGGTTAGGCATCTTCAAATTCTTTTATTTCTCAACGTGCTGGACTAGCTTAGAGTTTCTAAAGTTATGGAGAGGTGCTTCAGACACATTAAAAGACTTGAAGCATGCTAATATTTTGACATTTTCTCGTACCTAAATGGTTGCTGCTAAGCTAGTACAAAGCAAGTTGTTAGCTGAAAATCTGTCATACTTTTCCATCATTCTTCGCATTTGTGTCTCTGTGACCTCCACAGTAGCTGAGTGTAAACAAATTTGAAAGTCAGTATATGTGATACAAAACACTTAAATTACATTTCCAAACTATAACTTGTAGAGCAGAATTTTATTTTTAAAAACTCTTACTTGAGAATTTGCATTTTATATTCCCAGATTTTCCTTTGTATCACAGTCTGCTTTTGGCAGTAAGCTGCTTTGTTTCATCTGGAAGGGTAATTTTTTTTTTTAACTGTCTCTTTTATAAGTAGGTTTTTCTTGAAAGCAAAGCCATATTCTTCAGTTTTACCCCAAGAACAAAACAAATATTTGTGTTATATATGTATAGGATTGTACTTACACTTTCCTGTATCACAGAATTGGTTTTAGGAAGCAGTAATCACCATGTGTTTGTTTGCCAGCAGTGGTTTAATTTGATACCCTCTCTCTGACAGATGCTGTTACTTCTATGTTCACTCATAGAAGACCTAGGACAGCCTTATAATGGACGATCACGTGTTAGCATGCCTGAGAGAAGTACTTTCCTAGACCAGAAGTGGCTAGTGCTTGGCTTATGTGCTGAAGCGTATTATGTATCACTTTATTTAATATAATTGGCTGCTGTTTCCATAGACCATCAAATACTGTTTGAAATGCTGATAAGGGCTTTTGTCTCAGTGGAAGAAGGACAAGGTTTTTCTTTCTGTTTTGTGTTACAGACAGTTCCACAAATATCACAAGTGATGCAATAAAAAGATTGTGTTTATTGCCTCAATTCAAGTAAATCTTCCCTTTATCTTGTCCTGAGAGATTAATAGAATTTTCTAAATATTTTAATTACTTAGTACTTTATATATCTCTGATTTGGTCTACGAATAGTAGTGCTGTGCTATTGATTTATCAGAAAGCATTCTGTATCTTTAATTTCCTTCTTTTTGGAGGGGGGGGGGGGGGGGCCCCCCTGATTTTTGTTTTTATTTTTGTGTGGGCTTTGACAAGAAATGACCAGAACGTATTTTTTAAATCATAATTGATCAGTAATACTCTGTAAGAACTTTAGAAAAACAGGGATTTATGTCCTGTTCTCTTTGAGAAGACATTTGTCCAGCCTGGGAACATCTCATTTTTTTTTTTTCAATTGTTTGATTTTTCATCAATTTGTTTAGCAAAAGGTAACTAAAGAGTAGAAATAAATATAGATGTATTTTCTAGATAATAATGGTAAAATAACCTCTTTCCCCCCCATGGTAACAACCTTCATCTCCCTCCATGTGATACTAAATCTGGGGTATTTGCCATTAATACAGATGACTGTATTTACTATTTTCTGCTTAATATTTGGTCATTGACTGAAACTGAAGAACTTTGCTTTTTCCTGTTGTCTTCCTCTGAAATAAATCTGGGAAGAAAGTGTTGCATAGTGTAAAAGATGATATTTAGGCTGTCTACCTGGTGTGTTGGAAGACTGGTCAGAAACTTTGCTAGCTGAGCATCATCGTACAAACATCTGAAATTTTGCCAAAATGTGAAATCGGAGAAGCCAATTTCAGAAGAGAAAATAAAACACTTTAAGTTCTGTTCCTGTTCTTTTTACATATTTTGCTACATAAATGTCCTTTTACTGGACTCTGAAATATGCAAATAAGAATTTGACTAAAATATGATAAGGATATTCTTGTATGGGCTGTCTGCAGTGCGCGTATGTTGCCGAAATCTTTCACAGCTCCCAGAATTAGCATACTTGCCAGGTACAGCAGTGACATCACCGTGAGAAGCATTCAGATTTCTGTAGGATCCGAGTTTCCTTGGAGGAGTGGTAAAGTGATTTTTTTTAGGGAATAAGGTTATTATAAAACCAATTTGCTGCAGCCTTGTGTCTCCTCACCTCATTTATGGTGTGAGAGATGGATAGGCCTTTTCTCTTGACCAGCTCTGGAGTATGAAGCATGATGTTGAAGTGAAAGTACCTTTCAAAGGGTGATATAAATACAGTGGGGAACAGTTCTGGTGCACAAGAATGCTTATTTGAAAAGAGGAGAGAGTAGTTTTTATACCTCATCTCTTTGAAGATTTGATTTGAATCATATTTAATATTTCTATCCCTCATGTTCACTTAATTCATTTTACAACTCTCTGGACATCTACAGCAGCTAGAATGGACTGCTTTCTAGAGTCATATTCAACACTTGTACTGATGTAGGTGCTGTTTTCATAAGCGACTTGTGTGTGTTTCGTAAAATATGCTTTATTTTAAAATTAGGGCTTCCTGTTGCAGCTGTTCCAGGAGCTCTGAGTCCTCTGGCTATTCCAAATGCTGCTGCTGCAGCTGCAGCTGCTGCTGCTGGCCGTGTGGGAATGCCTGGAGTCTCAGCCGGTGGCAATACAGTTCTCTTGGTTAGCAATTTAAATGAAGAGGTCAGTGAGATAATTTGACACTGTTTTTTCCCCTCTTTACCCATACTTCATTGGTCATCATTTTATTTCTTTGCATTTGGCCTCTTACGTTTGGATTTTAAGCTCATGGTATTTTTGCTGTTATATTTATTACCTTACTACTCTCCCAAAGTTAATTTTGAAGTCTTTGTTAAATACTTTTGTTTTCTGAGGTAGCTAATGACTTAAAATGTGCTTTGATAGTTGGCTACCTGTTTATTCTTAAAGTATGGTAACTATTGCATGTTTGACATTTGAATTGAAAGTTTTCTGTTTTATTTTGCAATTATGATCATTTAAACTAGAATTCCTGTTTTGTTTTTTCTAATTGTTTGCTGCTTCATTTCATGCTTGTATCTCACATTGTAAGGTCTTAATTTATGTGAACTACTCTAACACATTTTTCTTTAAAGGTTCTCCCAAAGATCTTGACGAAGCTCTTCCAGTCTCTCTTAGTAATTTTTTTCATTGCAGTTTCTCATTTGTCTAAAAATAATAAGGAAAAATTGACAAAGCACTTTCACCTTAACTGTATCTTTCTTGCTAACTTTGAAATCTAAAGGAGTTTGTTTGGTTATGCATCTTTACCGTCCTTTATTTTTATTTTGATGGCTGTGAAAGCTGGTATGAAATGTGGGAAGTTTGTTTCAGTCTAGCTGTTCCATTTTTAACTGGCCTCTGTCACTAGAAATCATTAAGCTTATTTTATCATCTGGTACTATTTTGTCATCCACAGTCTTGCATGCTAAAATGTTTGAGGTCAGAGTGCCATTTTGGAAGATTATTTTGCCTGCATTTCATAACCAGCCATGCTTATGCAGTTGAAGTTTAAATTTCAAAATTTCTATTGCATGCTTTTTTATTTATTTTCGTGTTGATGAAATGCTGTAGTTTACTCTTGATATGAATGTACTTTACCCATATTTGTCTTGGGTGACTACATTTTACTCAGTTTTTCTTGTACAGTACATAAACCAACCATTTTCTGACCAAATTCCTGCATTTCCTATGTACTGACCTATATTTTATTTTTTTGTTCCCCACTTATTTTTTTTTCTTCTGCATTGCTGTTTCCCCCTCCCCATTTCATCCTTTTCCCTTTGTGTTCAACTTCCCTTTCCTTGTCTTTGCCCAAATTCCCATGCCCCTCCCCATTTTACCCTTTTCTCCTCGTCTTTGTCTACGTTCCCTGTCTTCATTCCCTATGTTCATGCTTCTGTGCTTGAACAAAATGTTCCTCGGACCAACTTGCCCCAATTAACCGCCTTGAAACCATGATCCATGACCACCTCACCATTCTGCGGGAACCACCCTTCGTTATGGATGATCTGTTCATCTCCGCTCTTCCTCGACTCTTCTCTCTTCTTGTCTTACGCTGCTTGCTCTTCTCTCCTTCTAAAGATGGTTACGCCCCAAAGTCTGTTTACCCTCTTCGGTATGTTATTGTTAGCACTATACTTTTATTATTGATTTGATTTTGTTCTGTTTTGTTTTTTTTTTGTTGGTTTTGTTTTGTTTCACCTTAATTCTTATTTGTAGCTAGCACTTTGGCTTAAAATTCAGTAGTAAATCTTTTGCTGTTTTTCTTTTGCTGTTTAAAACTCTCCATAGACACAGATTTTCTTTTAATGCATGCTAATATATTTTGCATGGTCTTTAATTTAATATCACTCACATAGCTTTGAGGGTTTATCAGAAATTCTTTTCAAAACTCACTATTCAAAATCTTTATCTCCTTTATTCATTTGTGAGAGTGTTGAGTCCGAGCGAGTGATCTTGTTGCTGTCTGAATGTTCCATTGGTATGTGAAAATATGTAGCTTAGTTGACTGGCTTTAAAATAAACTTTTTCTTTTGGGTTACCTTTGACTTTGAAAAGGTGTTTATGGTGATGTGCAGCGTGTGAAGATTTTATACAATAAGAAAGACAGTGCTCTTATACAGATGGCTGATGGAAACCAGTCGCAGCTGGGTAAGATTAGATTTCTATTTATATTCCCAAAAAGTTAAGCTATGTAAAATGAGGTGAACTGAGGGTGTTTACATCTGAAAGTTCTTGTATCGTAGTTACTGACAAGGTCTGAAATCTTATTTCATCTACATGTATTTCAAAAGCTTGACAGTGTAGAATAATTGAAAAGTTGAAACTGGCTTTCCAAATCCTCATGTACTCTACAGAGATAGTTTTTGATTAGTCCTCTAGCACACTGATTTTCTTGTGGTTTTTCTTCTTGTTTGAAGGGCTGTGTATAATGTGTCACATGCTACTGAAAAGCAATACTACATTGAGAAACCTGTTGTCTCTTTCAGCTATGAGCCATCTTAATGGACAAAAAATGTATGGGAAGATAATTCGTGTTACCCTTTCTAAACATCAAACAGTTCAACTACCTCGAGAGGGTCTTGATGATCAAGGGCTGACTAAAGATTTTGGTAATTCACCTCTGCATCGTTTCAAGAAACCTGGTTCAAAAAACTTTCAGAATATATTCCCTCCATCTGCAACGCTTCATCTATCCAATATTCCGTAAGTTTTGCCTGTCAGAAAGCCTGGAGTATTTTGTGTTAATCATAACACAGTGAATTAATTTCTGATTCTGCTTGTTTTTTGTCTGTAGACCATCAGTAGCAGAAGAGGATTTACGCACACTGTTTGCTAACACTGGAGGCACTGTGAAAGCATTTAAATTTTTTCAGTAAGTAATTTTTCTGTACGAAGTTTTAACAAAAGATAGACTAATTGCATTTTTTCCTGTGTGTCTTAAGTGCCTAGGGCATAGCAAAAATTAGGAACAACTCCTGTAGTGTTCGAGTTCCTAATGCCGTTATTTTGTTTCAGAAGAGATCACAAGATGGCACTTCTTCAGATGTCAACAGTAGAGGAAGCTATTCAGGCTTTGATTGATCTTCACAATTACAATCTTGGAGAAAATCACCACCTGAGAGTTTCTTTCTCTAAGTCAACTATTTAAAAAGGCAGATTGAAAATGAGGGTGTATTGCATTGTTTGGTGTTGTCACCTATTGACTGTTCCGGAGAGTGGGGACCAGAGTTTGTCTTCTATTTTTGGATTTTCTTTCTGTTTTCCATGCTGTTATCATTCCTTGGTTGTTTAAAAAATAAGAAAAAAAAATTAAGAGCAGTGATACTAACTGCTGTTGTCCAACTGTTGTTTAGATGAACCATCACTTTGTTTAAAAGATTTCAAGTTAATACCACAGTTTTTCAACTTAGTTGACATACGTGCCTTATAAAGGAAAGCTAGTAATGCTGGAATTGCGTAACTAGTGAAAGCGAATTTGGTTGTGTGGGGCACATTGTTACATGATAATTTGAGTATGTTTAGGCAGGGGTGTGTAAAAAGGTTAAGCTTTTGTTTCTCCTGCTTGGAATTGATTTCTTTATCTGCTGGCTTGTCACTTAATTTTTATTTGGTAAGATACATTGTACTGAAAGAGTAAAACATTGCTATTTGATTTTGCTACTTTTTGCTTTATGCTTTTTTTTTAAAAAAAAAAAAAAAAAAGAAGGCCTTTAGTATTTTATGATTCTGGTCTAGATTCAGTTATGAATGTAGGCATTTGTTACAATTACCAAGGTGCAGAATATTAATTTCTTAAAGGACAAGAAGTGACTTCTGTGACTTTGAGCCCTATGTGGAAAGCATTGTGGAATCTTAACCTTTTTGTACACACTCTTGTGGGATGTATCATATAAATGTCAGCACTAAGTAATGTCTTGTTTGTGGCTGAATATTTTTCGTAGATGTTTTTGAAGTTGACATGACTTATGTGCATTTAAATATATATTGCCATCTTTAGTTTGTAATTAAGATATGGAATATGGTTGTGGATTTCTGAGCATGTACAGACTGGTCAAGCTAGTTCAGGAAATGGTGCATGTTTTTTTCAATGATAAAGAAAGTTCGCTGCAAACAAACACTTGCAGGAAATTTTGTGGCAGTTTTTTAAAACTGACAACCAGGTGGGACCAAAGTTTATGTGCCTTTAGTCTTAATTTACCTTGCATTGTAATATTCAGTTTTAATAAATCTCTTCAAAATATTTTATATTTAGAAATTAATCTGACTTTACTATAAACATTGCTCAGAATCTACAGATCCAGTTAATTTGAAAGCAGTTCTCTGTCAGTCTGAACTGTTACCTTGATTCTGTTTAAATGACCAATACTTTTTGAAATTGATGTACTTAGTTTCAAGATTCATAGATTCTGTTATCTATGTAGAGAAAATGGTCATGTATATTTTCTATTAGTTGAGTTTTTACATCTTTAGAATTGTAAAATTCAGTATAGTTTGAAAGTGGCACAATTAAAAATTAATTTTCTAACAAAGTTGGGAGGTTTGACGGTTGTTTAATTTCATTTTGTGTGTACTCTGCTTACCTCTGTAGCATGCTCAATAAACACTTCTGTAGCTCTGTATTCACCTTTTCTGTCTTTCTCTGCTGCTTTCTCTCTCCTCCTCCTCCTCTTTGTTTTTCACTTCTACTGTGCTTCTTAATTCATGTTTATTCTCTGCCAGGGTGGGAAAAGCATAATAATTAATAATGCGATGGCTTTTAGCCGTAAATCTGATGCTGTGAAAAATACCAGATCTTTCAGAAAGATAGTGACCCTTTTGCAGGTGTATGCAAACAAATTAAACATTTCCCACCCTGTTATAACCTATTGCTTTAAAGACATAACTTTTATTGTAGTTTGTTAGCTTTCTTTTTCTATCTTTTTAGTTTTTAAGCAGATGTACGCACTAATAGGTCTCAGGTTTGCCATGCTCTCTTGCTGCAATTTCATTTTTCATTTTTTGTCTGCTAAAAAATTCCTACTAATCATACAGTATAAGTATGCTCATGGGATGAAATAACAAGGTTGGTAGCTTGGTGGACCATGTGTTTCTAGATCATGATATTTCAACCCTTTAGAGACATGGGTACAAGTGAATGTAAAAGCAGTTCGGGCACTTTAATAGTGTTTCAATGTGCTATTTTGGGTTGTCGTTCTTTTTTGTTTCATGTGATTGTTTTTCTCAATTAAAAATAGGATTAAAATTTTTGCACAGCCCCCTGTTAAGAGTGAGTGTGCAATTTGGAAGCATTACGGAGGCAAAAAGCTATTACACTTTTCAGTTCAAAGCATTTTTTTCTGTCACTTCTCCAATACAACTGCTGTAGATTTATTGATGTCCGATTGCTTTGACCCGTTGCCTGGCTTTTGGGTTGGCTCTGAAATCATTAAATAGCTCTCAGCTATTTAAAAGTCACAGTATAACTAAGGGGGGCTTTCATTAGTCTTCACTGTGTGAAACAGAATGTATTAAGCTCTACCTGCTTTATCAGGGATACACCCAGGTTCTGAATTCTATTTCAGATACCACAGTGATCACCTGAAATACTGGTAAAATCAGGCTTGTCCATAGATTAAAGTTCTGAATCAAAATATCAAGCCTGAAACACCTACAGGTGTGAGTGCGACTGTCTCACAGCTGTCTTGAGCAGTACATGTGGAACTCACGAAGCTGTTCTCTCAGGTTTCTCATCTGTGCAGTATGATGCTATATATGTGCTAAAATGTTTCATATTTCAGAGCATGGTCACGTGTTTCATATAGAAATATGATCTGAAACTTAGAATTCTGTGGTACTCTGAAAAATCTGTCTGCAGTACTTGAATGTTTTCAAATACAGAGTGGTGCTTTGTTTTGTTTCCTGCTTTTGATAGTTACTTCCTTAAAATAGGTTTCTGTACTTTTCTCAGATTAAAAAGTTCTGTGACAAAGGTCTCGAGAGAGAACAGATGTTGAATTTGATTTGATACAAATTCAGTAGTCTTTGTTCTTTTCATATTTTTATTTGTATCAAAATTCGTTATGTGAAAAATTGAAAGCAATTATTGTCATGAAAATATGGAAGAGGTTTTTCTATGAATTCAGTGAATAAAACCACTGTTTCTTTGTTGATACTTAATCCTTAAAGGATATTGTTAAATATCTTCAGAAATGCAGCTTTTATATCCAAACTTTCCAAAGCATGTTGGTTCTTCATTTTGTATGTTAATTTGTACGTTTTTATTGTAAAACATATACATGCAGTACATATTTTTTAAAGCTTCAGGATGTGAAAATGCAATGCATCGTTATTAAAATTATGGATAAGGATTGTGAATAACTTAATCCATTCCATGGAATGGGTCTTTAGATCATTACTGGTGTTTTGCCATAATGTAGGCATATTGATAATCCAAACTCACTCTCAGGTTTTTAAAAAATGTTTTTTTGACATTGAGAGAAAGCGATTACTGATTTTTATTTTCTTCACAAATTGTTTGGTTTTTGACAATGGAACAATGAAATGGATTAGATGATGTCCAAAAGTGTTAGTCAGGAAATATCCACTGGCAAATGCAGCACACAGATGAAGTAAAATAAAACTTGATAGCATTCTGACTAACAATTGTGGTAATTCTAATACTTCTGAGTTAAGTGAATGTGATTTAAAATACTTGTATTTATTGTGATTCAGTGTTTTATTAACAGGCACCTTTGCCTTGCAGGAGTAACAGCTCAAATGACTGTTTTGTAGATTGTTGTTTTTAATGTTTTACAGTAATTTTGTTTCCTAAGCCTTCTTAGGAAGAAGTTCTCTTTGATTCATTGTAAGTTTCCTTATTTGTTATAGTGTGTCACTGCATGAGAGCAATGATACTGATGTTTATCTTCAGAATTTAAGGCACTGTGATTTCATAATGTAGTTTACTCCAGATGATTTGTTGAATTCTATGCTTAGAGAAGTGGTTCTGGTAGAACACTAGAAAAATGCATGGAGGATGTTTCTGTACAAACAGGTATGTAAATCAACTAGTCCATCTCAAGAAATTGTTTTTCTGGTATTAAATGCTCTATGTTGAGTTTCTTTTTCTTCAATTGAGTTTGCTGTGGGTGAGGCTGAAGTCTGTATGTTACCCTACTCCATTCCACATAATGGGGCAACCTGAAATTGAGTCTACATTTCCTGAGGTGAACAAATTTTCTTTTAAATAATTTGGCAAAGTGTCCCATCTCCTGTAACCCTTGCTTGTGCAGAGAAGACAATATAGTTTATGAATGTGGCTGAGATTGTATTTGAAGATATTTCCTTAAAGGTTTTCCCAGGTCTTGGTCGTGTTATACCTCCAATACTTCTTACCTGACTGTTGTAAGAGGCAGCTGCATTGTGCTGGTGCACTTCTCATCCATGCAGGTTGGTTCCTGCCTGGCTGAGGAGTTGTATGCAACATTAATGAAACTTTTAAAATTTCCTTTAATGTAAGATTTGATGTGGAATTATCTAATCTGAGTCTTGTGAGCTTCACGCACCTTTGCAGCGCGTCTCCATGTGAATACACACATGCATACGCACAGAAACACACAGAGCAATGTGATTTCATCCTGATGGCTTACAAAAGGAAACTGGTGAATTCCTGTCCTGCTTCACTTCTCAAAGTACCCTTTTTATTCCTTGTGGCTTTCTCAGTAGGCTGTAATTTCTTCCAAATTTAGCTTGTTGATGGAGAAGTGTGTTGCTTTGTTTCTCCTTTCAGTGTTTGCCACGTGTTGTGTTGAAAATGTGTATTCTTTCTTGATCAGTTCTGCACACAGGCAGTAAAGAAAAAGCAACTTTTCTGTGTCTTGGAAAACATGAATTAAATGTGGATTGGCTTAGACATCACTCTGAGAATTTAGCTTAAAATAGCAGTCCTATTATTGCAGAGTTCTGCATGTTATATGAATTCTGTTCCACTTTCTTAAGGAAATGACACTTACCTACTCACATTGTCTCCATGTCTGTGTCGTGTTCCCTAAACTCACTGCTCTGCTTGCTACTCATGCTCCTACTGGGCAGCTTTCTGTCAGCAAGATGGTCTCAACTGTGTTGCCATTTCTGTGTTTCAACCATTAGCTGACTTGTAAGATGTTCTTACTTTCACTGCTGTGGGAGAGGAAATGAAAAAACAGCTGCTTCTTCCTGTGTTGGCATGTGTCTGTAAGTGGTGGCAGCCTGTGACGTAGAAAATATGGCAGGACCTGGGGCTGTTGGGTGGAATACCTGGGAAAATTGGAGGAAGAGTGCATTGCAGGTAGAGTTGCTGGACACAAGAGAGGAGGGAGTTTCTGTATGTGTGTGTTCCCTTTGTGCATAAATACCTCAAAAACATTGATAAGGAGAGAATATTTCACAATTTTTGTTATTTTACTAAGAAGTTACGTCTGAACTATGTAAATAGCGGGTAGTTGCTGTAATTTATCCCTTTGTGCCAGTTACAAGCTGCTGGAGGTTGCAATCACTGTAGATATTTGTTGATCTCCCTAGGCTGAGTGATCATGGCACCTAGAAGCTGGCAGAACTGAAAGCTCAAAACCACTGGTCATTGGATGGGTTCCATGTCTGCATGGTTTAAGATGATTGGCACTGATAGCTTTCCAGAGGGCTGGATACCAGCACCTAATAAGATCTAGTAAGAGACTTCTTAAAACAGTCATCAGAAGTGACATGCTAGGAAACCGTTTTTTGGATGGAAAAACTGTCTGCTTATAAGATTCCGACTACCTGTACCCTATGGAACAATGCAGTGTTTCAGTATCCTTTGTTCTGACCCAAGCCACTTTGATTTCTTAATGCTGTGGGTTTACCTCTTGTAGCATCAACATCCTTTGAATGTTTTAAATGCAGCTGACTTCATGCTGGACTAGTCTGCTCTTCTCTGAAGCAGGAGGGGTTTCTTGGCAGCTGCACTTGACAAGTACCAGTGGTATACTGCATGTACCGAGTGGGGATGCCAGCCCTGCTCTGCTTTAAAGCATTGACAGTCCTCAGGTAACAATTAACCACAGTACTACACCTATAAAATAGTCTCTTCAGCATGCTCTGCCTTGTAATCTGAACATGACCTTCAGGGGCTGGCTGTAAGGTTACTTGGGTGCATTTTTTGTGAATGCTGGTTGGTGTTGAAAAGTGCCCCGTTTCCTTCTCTCCTCTGATTGTTCTTGTAGAAGGGTTTACCTGGGATCGGTATCTTTCCCCGGTGATGCTGATTGAAAATAATCTGTTTCCCTGGTTTGGAGCAAATTCAGATAAACCTTAGCCATTTTTGGCATAGTTGTCTAACCTGTTTTTAAACTTTGAAAGCGGAGGTTGCACAACTGAGAATCTGTTAGAAGAAACTTTTTGACTTAAATTTCTTTTTGAAATTTATATTCATATGCGAGTGCCATATATAAATCAAATTCCTCTGTTACAAAGTTGAAGTTTAGATACATGTGGTTTAGTTACTTCTAAATGTATGGTTTATAGTAGATTACTTTTTTTTTCCTCATAGGTGGCTCTATAAGGTTCATAACTTGCAAATTCAGTGACTTGTTGGACTTTCCTCCGTGTTTGTCATCGTTCCGAGGCCTTAGCAAGTTGCATGATTTCAGAACTCCTAGGGTACGTGCTGTTGAGTGAAATGAGTGCTGTACTCTCTACTGACTCTCTGATGCCCTAGAAAAATCTGGATGCCCTCTGCTCTTTTTTGAGATTGTTTCCTTACTGAAAATCCTTACATCGTATTTAAATTTCAGCTTCATTTAATGTTTAGCAATTGCTGGGATTCTGGTTAACCAACAACCTTCTACGGCAGGAACTTTTCTACGTATTGATGTTATATTTTGAAATGTTTTAGAAACTATATTAAGCTCTGAAAATTATTTATAGTAGTAATTAAAAATTGGATGTTACACTTTCAGTAATACTTGATGTAGAATTCAATGAACTTTAAGTAGGATTAGAGTTTGGAACAACCAGTGTTTTCTGAGCAGGAAAAACTGAGTCTAGACTTCTGCCCTTTAGGAAGTTGTTTCTAGGCAACTGCTTCTGAATGCTGCTGTGTTCTCTTAGCAGATGTCTGTTCTGCTCTGCCAAAAGGAGAAAACGTTCGTCCAGATGTAGTGACTGAGTATGCAAGGGAAAGGAAGAAGAAAGAGTAATACAAATATTCAATTGTTGTACAAGAACTTCAGCTCTCCAGAGATTAAGCAGTACTGGAGGCCTT